GCACACCGCGTTCAAAGCATGGGAGCCTTTCTAGAATTCTACTCTCTCTGAGAAGTATTTATAATTTGCAATTTACAATATCTCCAATTTGTAAAACCTAAACAATTTTAAAACCTAGCAACCCTGCTTTATAAGGGGGAAAGAGGCCCTGAGTGGTGAATTGGTTTCCAAGATGGATATCTATTTACAATTTAAATTTGATGCTAGGAACAGTTGGCAACAGGACTTGGGCAAGTGAGTTAAAAACCAGAGCCTTCTCTCCTATTTTATCCTCCAGTCATGTTTATATGAGAGGGAAGTACACCAGGATTGGGAAGAAGAATGAGCTTTTTCCAAAAAAAAAAAAAAAAAAAAAAAAAGGAAAAAGAGAAAAGAAAAAAAGATTGCATCGTCTTGAGCAAATATGTATTCTCCTGACAAGGTCCCTGTGCTTCAGGACTCAAAGACGAGCTCGTTTCTTTCACATCAGCCTGGACTCATCCACGACCAAAAGGTGCACCTCACCTCACTCCTGGCGGATGGCCACAGTGGCTGCCTCCTTGCAGACCTGGTCACAGCCAAGGACCAGAGCTAGCCCGCCCCCCATCTTAATTCTCCACAGTAGTGGTCTGATGTCTGCTTGGGGTGCACTGGGACTCCTGGCCAGGGTGACTGGATGGCATCTGTTCTGACCAGTCACATGTCCATGCCAATAGGCCAGTGCTCACAGGGACCCACTGTGAAATATCTCTACCATCAAGCCTGCTCCAGGCCCCCAGATGCCCAATCATACATGGTGTGTAGATGTCAGAATTCTCTTTCAATTGACATCTAAATCAGATTTGCAAACGGATAGGGGTTTTCCCTCCAGAAGCTTCAGCCCAAGGTCCCACCTGTGAGTCTAGGATGCTCCTGCTTGTGGCCCTGAGTTTGTCGCACAGCCAGGGGACAGATAGTGCCATCCTCTGTCCTCTGGCATCACACTGAACTTGATGGGACCAAAGGGGCATTTTGGGGAGACGAGCCCTCTGTCCTTCCCACAGTCTCCTTCATTCACCTTTCCTTTTTGCAAGCTGCTGAGGCCATACCATGGTCTTAGGAAAACTCTGGGCCTGTGCAACATCCCTGGGAAATGAGTGAAGTTCTGAGACCCGTTGTGTAGTATTACCACAGGGTGAAAGAACCCAGAGGACAGGGCAGTCTAGAGAGGCTTTTTACGGAACTGGAGTCCCTTGCTTGATCACCAAACCTCTCTGAGTCTCAGTTTCCTCACTGACAATCTGGAGATAGCCACAGCACCTAGCTTAAAGAGATACAGTAGGATTGAGCGAAGTAGTACTTTAAAGCAATTAGCCCAGTGTCTGGCACACAGAGTTTGGCCAGTAGGAGGTCTTGTTGCCCCTCGGGAGGTAACCACTGTGTTGCCATGACAAAAAGGTATGTTAATATCAATGAGACACTTGGAATGGCTCTTGGCTCATAGCCAGCACTCGATAAATCAATAAATGCTAATGACCATCATCACCTTCATCTTCACCATTATCGTGATTATTACTATTATTACTATTTACCTTCTTTGAAACCAGAGACTATGTTCAAGGAACTCATTCAGGGATGAGGGCATTGGGTTGCAAATAAGGAGACCTGTGCAGGCCTGTCCTCGCTTTACCAGGTCAGGGTGTGATATTGGATAAGTGATATTGCTTCACAGGGTCAAATTTACACTAACTTTAAAAAAAGGGGAGGTTTCCTGGGGGGGAACCTCACACTTCCTTCCCAACCTAAGGATCTGTGGGTGTCTGCTTTGCCCAAAGATGCTATATGTGCCCATCACTGGGCCAGTGCAATAGAAGTTTATTGAATGTCTCTGTGCACTGGATTTGGGGACATCTTGGTGGGCAAGAGAGTCATGCCTCACACCCCTCTGTTGTAGGTTACCCTCAAGACTAAAGTTCAGGGGACAATCAGAAAGAAACATTTTAGCTTACAACTTGGACTAAAAATTGGGGCACTGCATGAATTGTTGGGGGCTGTTTTATTAAAGCCCCACCCAATGTCTGATGTAGAATTTGAATTCACTCTTTGAGTGCTTTGCAGAGAACTCATCTTTCTACCTTTCCTTTTCCCTCTTGGCCCCAGGGAGGCATTTCCACAAGCAAGCAAGTTAGAAGGTGAAAAGCATCACTGAGGAAAAGAAACGAGTCTCTCAGAAAAAGCTTCGGGAAGAAAAACCTGCCCCTCGCAACCCATTGTATTCCTTGTGCAGGACAGGACCTCTGAGACTACCGTACCAAAAGCTTCATTTTAGAAGAAGGGGGTACAAGAGCTTAAGAAAAGTGTATCTCACTTTTGTTCCACCAGACAATGCATGTGCAATTCTCTTCCCTCATTCACGTTTCATTCCTTAATCCTTGACTATTTAGTCCAGAAAGAAATTTCCTTCCTCCCTTCCTAATAACACCATGGGGTCCCCCCTTCCAGAAACAGCCATCCCTGGTGCAGGTCGAGATCAAGATGGGGAAGCGTGGGCACGGCTGGGGCAGTGGCACCATGGTCTTGAATATGTGTCCAGGTCTCCCAGGAAGGAATAAGATGAGGAAGACAGAGCCCTGCTCCTGGCACCCCTCACTGGCCACTGTGCCAGGGCCCTTAACCCACTGAGCCCTGGCTGACCACTCAAAGTTGGGGTGGTTTCAAGGATTAAAGTGACTGAGCTTGGAACCTAGCCTCTAAGCAGACATCACACCTGTTGGGATTCTGGTCCTCTGCCCGATATCCTTCCTCCTCCAGCCATGGCAAATCCCAGATATGCCTCCCCTCCACTTAAACATGTATGGGACAGATTGGGAGTGGGACTGGGGGAGGGAGTGAGTGGGGGAGATGTTTCAAGCCTGGGTCAAAACAGGTCTAGCTGGGGGATCAGCCTGAGGACAGGGACACCAAGAAGGAGGGGTGATGCCACAGAAGATTACGCATTTGACCCGTCTGACAATTTTTCCCAGCGTCAGCCCAAACAGATACTCCCCTCCCCAATGAAACAGGTCGCGGGGCATAGCAGAGGAGCCCTGGGTTTTAAATATCTAGGTAAAGGCCCTTCTTAGCTCTGGCCTAGGAGCTTATTCCTGAATACCCTGTTGAAATAACCTGATGTGGGGTGGGGTTGTGGGGCGCTGGGGTTTCTGTAAAGCATTTGGCAGGAAAGTGAAGCATTATGTGCAAAGTGATTTCCTGATTGCATTTTAAAAATTAAAAGTCCCTGGCATATAGAAGCTGTTCAGTCAAAGTTCAGTGAATGGAAAAGCCAGGGATGCCTGAATGGGCTCGCACTTCTTATGTTTCTATAGCAGAACAATGGGCAGCTGCTGGTCCTTCCCTCTCACCTGTCAAGGTCAGCAAGTGGTCTGGGCCAAGCAGAGCCCACAGCTGGGAGAAGGGAGGGAGAACCCAGAGGAAGGCCCTCCCCACCGGGCCATCCATCATCCAAGACTTGGCTTGCCCGCTTTCCACTCCCACCCTGTTTTTTGGGGCAAACAGCTATGGAAAGTAACATATTTCTCTATTTCTGCGTGGGAGCACGTCACGTATTAACTGAACAGTGTTTGCGAAAGTTTCCGGAGCTCGTGGGGGAACCGAGAATGAGGAAGAGCAGGAGGCTGGCAGAGGGGTTCATGAAAGGTAGTGGAGCTCACAGAAGGAATTCTTGGGTTTCTGAGATGGGAAGGGGCCGGGAGAAAAGGAGAGGGCAGGAAGTGGCGCCTGCCCCAGATTTGGGTCCTTAGGGCCTCGGGATCCTGTCATTTCCTTTTTGAGGGACCTGTCAGCTTAGCGGGCCCTCAACTCCAGCTGATAATGAATGAAACAAATGGGACAAAGGAGGGGGCGCACGCGGCGCGGGCCTCGAGTAGGGCGCCAGGCTCGGCTCTAGCCCCAAGGAGGAAGGGACATTCTGCCGCTCGGCGACCTCACCCTTTCACAGCCCTGGGCCAGGAAGCTCTCCTGGGCCCCTCAGAACCCTAGCTGCCTCCCCACTTGCCCGCCGCGGATTGGACGCTCTTTGTGGCGCTGAAGCAGAGAGACCCGGTGGAGCGTGCGGGGAGGCTGCGGGGCGGGGCGCGAGTCCCAGTCTCCCCGCCCGACAGCCGGTGCGTCCCGCGCCGCAAGTGAGCGCTCCTGGAAGTCCCGCGCCAGGGCAGGGGCTCGCGGTCCCGCCCTAGCTCTGGAGAGATCGGGAGAGAAGCCGGGGCGAGACCGCGCTCCTGGGGGCCCCGAAGACGACCCCGCGGCAACACAGACTTTCCCGAAAGGTCTCTGTCTCCGCGCTGAGAGCGCACGGGAACCCGTGGGCGCAGGGGGCGCCGTGGGGTTAGCTGAGAGTCCAAACCCAGGCGAGGGAGAGAGTCTCAGCCCAGCCCCGCGCGCTTCGCCTCTAGCGGTACCAGCTGGCGCCCCAAGGCCGGGATCCCGGGCGGGCGGGAGGAGGGTGTGCCAGTCGGTAGGTACTGGGGACACTCCCCTTCCAGGGAGCCAGTGCAGAGCCCCCGCCCTCCGCTCCAACCCGGGGATCCCCTCCCCCAGCGCAAAGATCCCCGCGCGCCCCCTGCCCACTTTGCCAGGCGAGAAAGCGGCCGAGCTGGAGACAAAGAAACTCCTGCCTCCTCCACTCTCGGCCCCTCCGCCCACCCCAGACACTCCCCGGCGCCCTCCCTCGACCCCGGCAACATCGTTCGCGGACACGCTAGGGAAGGGGGGTAGGGTAGGCGAGTCTGCTCCCTGACGCGGGCCAGCTGGAGGCTGCCCGTGCTCCCCGCTTGGGGACACCCCACGGCAGCCGCGCCCCCATGCTCCGCGCCCCAAACCGTCCCGGTCCCCCGGCACCGCCTCCCCGGGCCAAAACCTTCCCCCCACTTCTCCAGCTGAGCGTTAGGGGGGCGCGGCGCACACAAAGCGGGTGTTGGGGGCGGAGTACCGCGGTGGGAGAGATCCCGCTAGGGCTCTGCACGGGCCCGGGTGCAGCTATTTACCCGATTTCTTCTTCGATCTCCGAGATGTCTGCGAAGATGAGGAAGACCACGAGCAGCGTGAGCGCAGCCAGCATCCAGCTCCGGAACTGCAGCTGCATGGTGGGTTCGCGCCCGCCGGGACCCGCGCGGGCCGGCGCGAGGAGCGGGGGCTGGAGGGCGCAGCTGCAGGCGCCAGAGCCTCCGCGCGCGGCGCGCAGCGGGGCAGACACCCTGCGCTCCGGGCTAGTGCGGGCCAGCGGCGGCGGCGGCGACAGCGGCAGACGGGGGTTGCTCAGGCGCGGCGAGCCCGCTCGCTCCTTCTTCGCTCTCGCCCGCCCCTCCTCTCCCCTCCCTCCTCTTCCCCTCCCCTTCCCTTCCCCTCCCTCCTCCCCCCCGCGCGGGGCTCCTAGTGCAGTTTGACAGCTTTGCTCCGCGCCTCTGCTCGCCTCCTCCCACCCTAGTCAACTCCTAGGTCCAGTCATCCGCCTTTGCTCCTCCCGCCTGGCTTCTTTCAGTCCCCGAGGGCGCTGGGATGTGGCCAGAACCCGCCACTCCCCGCCTAGGGAGGCTGGGCTCGGGGCACCGCGGGCGTCCGGGTACCGAGCAGATACCCGGGAAGAGTGCGCACCGCCCGGCGTCCCCAGCCGGCTGGCAAACGCCCTCCCACGCTCGCTCTTTGTCCAGCGCCCTCGCTTTCTCGCAAAGTTTTGGCGACACAAAGACCTACACCTGGGGACAGTCCCCAGCGCTCGGCGAGGAGGCGGTTTCAACCAGGCAGATGTTTCAGCAGTTGACGAATTAGGAGGGGTGGGGGGGGAGGGGAGGAGAGAAGAGATATCCAAGATAGGCCAACTTCAGCGGAGATGCTGATTGCAATCTGTGGGCTAGGTGCTCAGCCCCCTAGAAACCACCCCCTCCGGGCGGTCATCTTGGTCACCATTGATAGAACCGAGAGACTGGATCCGGAGAGGCTCCCTGAGTTGCCTGAGGTCGCGCAGTCTGGGCTAGAACTCTGGGCTCCTGCTGGAGCGGCTGCTCTACCCACAATGGCAGACTCAGAGGCGGCCCTGCCCAGCCTCTGCCCTGGCCCTTCTGACTCTGGGCTGGGCTTCCCTCTCCAGCTTTTGCCCTCTCCTAGCAAAATCAGTACCCGCCCTCCCCCCCACCCCGGGGGGGAGGCTCCTGTCTTGATCTAAAGGCCTGCTAGAAATTATGGCTCCCACAAGGGGTAGTGCCCCCCAAGCCGAATATTTTTCGCTTCCCCAGCCTTAGACAATTTAACTGAAATTACATTCTGCACCAACCATTAGCCTGGCAAGGGCCCCATTAAGTTTTACTGGAATTAGATAATTACCTATTTTTTTTTCTTGCACTAATTGTAACAATCCTCAAATCAGGAAATGTAACTTCCTAGAAGTGATCATCTGGTTTATGAAAGGGTCCTCGAGGTCTGAGTTTGGGGAAAAGGGTCCTGTTCAAGAAGTGATATGGGGTATCCTAATGGCCTGAAAAGGACTGTGGAATGAAAGGGGCATGGTGCAGATTGGCTGTTTCCTCCAGGACCACCCACACAGAGCTAGTTCTCACCAGGGCTGAGGAGGGGGATGTCAGTGGCTAAGTCCCTTCAGGGGCACCTTGGGGAGGTAAGAGGGCTGTCTGTGCCCAGGATCCTCCTGCCTCTTTGTGTGTAGGAAGGAGGACAGGAGGAAGTCTTCCAAGCTAGGGGGCTGCTGGACGGCTCTTGTTGACCCTGGAAGCCAAGATAAGATCTTCCCTATAGGAAGAGTTCCCATTACCCTGCCTGGAGGGCAGGAGAGGGAAGCACTCCAGAGAAAGGGGGAAAGCTCTGGGTATGGGTTACAGATGTCTTTTCCCCAGAGGAGGGGTAGACCGATCCCCATGACATCACTTCATTTCTTTTCTAGCACCTCACAAAATCTGTGCACCTCCATGCCTACGGGGAGCTCCTCCAGAATACCACTTATTTTTCTTGGAGTGAGATTTTGTGAGGTTGAGTACTGTGTTGGATGTCTGTCTCCCGGTCCATTAGAGGTGGTAACGGGCATCAAAGGAGGGTTTACCATCAATGTGGCTGGCCACATGGTTTAACCATCACATCTCCAAGTTTTCTGAGTGCCTTGATCTTTCCCTTGTCCTACTTCATGGGTGGTTAAGGAGTGGTAGGATTGTATTTGTTGTTTTTGTCTTGTTTTTCTGAATGGTTGTGATATCTGAACAGAGAGGTAAGAATGGGGTACACCTGTTACACTGCTCCATATTTCAATTGTTCATTGATTGATTCCATTACTCAACGTGTTTGTTGAGCACTTACCCTGTGCTAGACACTCTGTGCTTGGGGCTAGAGCTACAAAGAGGAGAGAGAGAGAAATAGAGAGAGAGAGAGAGAGAAGGGGAGAGAGGGAAAGAAAGAGAGAGAGGCATTTCCTGCCCTCTAGTGGCTCATGGTTTAGAAGGAAGACCTGTAATTATGGTACGGGATGTGAGCAAGCTACAGTACAGCTATGGTCTTCCGAATAGCTTATAATTGATTAATAAGACCACACAAGAGAGCAACAAGAAACGGGCTGGCCTGTCTCTTCGCCGCTCTCAGCTTCTCTACCAGCTCTTACTGTGAACATCATGGAGAGCTTGCTGTCATCTTAAACTCATCAAAATTGCTACTGTTACAACAGAGTGTATCCATCTCCTGTTAGGTGACCCAGTGGTAATCCCAGGCTCAGGGTCTCCCTTCTTTGGACTCACTTGAGAACAGTCATTTTGAGTGGACAGGAAACATGGAAACTGTTGAACCCGTCCATCCCTTCTAGAGAAATCCTTGTAACCAGACCCACACAGAGCAACATCCATCAAGTACACCTGCTGGGAGAGAGTGAGCTTTGTAACATGTAATCCTTGCACTGAGAGCCACTGAGACGGGCTTCTACTTGGAGAGTGGTAGGGACTCTCGTGATAGTTGACCACAGGACACTGTCTGGAAGCAGCACTTGCGTCTGCATCCGCATGGGCCAGCTCCTTTTTATGGTGGTCTGTGCACGTGCCCACTGCCTCGAGGTTGTCTCTGAAAACCGAGTTTGTTTCTGGGGTCTGGAAAGAGGGAAGATGATTGAATTGGCAGCAAGTGTCACGTCTGCTGAAGCTGTGTAAACGGCCACATGGGCACACACTTGGCTCAGCCCTCCAGGTCCCTCCACTCTTCCTGCCCTCTCTATTTAAATGAGTCCCTTTTCCTGCGTTGGTCTTTCTAAGAAATAGTAATCTCTTCTTTAGGTTAAATTATTGAGTATTGGGGTTAAAATACAAGAGTTATATGGGAGTGGCAGCAAATTAAAAGTCATTACCACCCATTAACATTTTAACTCAAATTAATAGAGTAGATTAGCTATTTAGGCAACTGACAAGACTCTGGGAGGTTCATATGAATGGGGGATAGAGGAGCAGGGAACTCTTCAGGGCCCAGAATCAGGCAGCCCTTCCTTATCTCTGACTCTGACTAAAGGTGTGCTTCTCCTTCCAGCTGCTGACCTCAAGAGTGGGGACCCCCACCCAGAGCTGAAATTCCCAAAAACCCAAACACCGTATGTATCATTTACACATCAACTAACCTCTCCACGCTTCTCACCCCAGATACAGAGTGTTTTCATCTGAACTGCTTCTTGGGGGGTGATAAAGACTTCTCTTGGCAATCCTTTTCACAGGTACCATCATCTTCATCTTCATCTTACTATGGAGGAAACTGAGGTTCAGAAGGGGCTTCATTTCCCAAGATTCCTCTGTGAGCAGAAAGGAAATTTTAATGGAGCTGGCCTCCTCTGAGCCTTGGTGACTTCTGGGATTGTGGGAATGCCAAGGTCCTCTCCAGCACAGTTCTAAATGGATTTGTAAATAGGCACCACGTTTGATTTTTACTGAATCCCTTTCATTCTGGTACGTCAAGTTTAGCGAAACAAATTTATCTTCACTCACTGCCCACCCTCCACCATTGGTGAGACCATAATCGTGAATTTAAGTTTTCATCTGTCCACACAGAAGAAACCAGTCCTTTTAACCCAATCTTTAAATAAAAACCTCAACAATAAATAATAATTTTTCTTATCCAAAATTCTGAGACCCGGTACCGAATCACCCTTGAACTTGCTTGGAAAGCCATTTAGAATGTTTGAGAAAAAACTAGAGTGATAACAGTTTTGCTCTATCGTTATCTCTGAAGGAGGAGCTGTGGATTCTTAGTGTTGAGGGTCTTCTGGGGCGGGGTGTAAAGTCACAGAGTATCTTAGTTGGAATAGACTAATAAGCTATTGTATTTCTGCACCTCCCATAACTGAGAGAACCAGCCTTCCCTTTTGAAATTTACATGAAATTTGAATGTTCTCACAAATGCAACATTTCCCCCTTCAAAATCAGAATCCAGCGATAACAATATGGGAAAATAAATGGGCATATTTGCACTCCATTTGTAGCTTTTGTAAATAGCAAAATTGTATATTAGCTGAAGAAAGAAAAGAAATATACCCAGGCAAGTGTTGTAAATGTTTCTGGGATTATCTGCAAGAGACCTTGGGAGGGACGTGGGCATGAGCTCCATGGGGAGCTGGAAGTGATAGCAGAGGGTGGGGGGGCAGAGGTTCAATTTTTTGCTGGGATTTTTCCAAATTCTTCAGTCAGGATTAGAGATGGTTTTGAACCAAAGAGTGAAGTCAAGGGTCAGATGGTAGAGATAAATGAAAAGGAACGTCCTCTCATGATTCTCAACAGTGCTTCAGCGAAATGACGACTGGGATCTCTGAATCAGCTCATCCAGTTTTGCCCAAACTCCAGCATGACCCTCCCCAAGAGCATCTAAGGAAGCTGGCCCTGGTCAGCCTTCCCTGGCTCTCTGTTTTGTCTCGTGTCACTTTCTCTAGCCTCTGTTTGGATCATGGACCTCTGCATTCTCAGAGCTGGGGCATTGGGCAGAGAAGGTGCACCCCTGTCCCTTCACTCACTCAACCATGGCGTGTCTCGAATAAACTCTAGGCACAGTTTCTGCCCTTACGGAGGTTGGAGTCCTGTGGAATTTTTACAGATGGAAAACCCTGGGACCCAGAGACCGGGAGATGGC